GATCACCTGATCACTGAACATCTCAAAAGACAGCAAAAGAATATCCCCGTACGACCTTCAGCCTGCATTTACACCTCCCATGTACCTCCACACATGTACGCCCAACGGAGGAACAGGGCTCCACTGGTTTACCCTGTAGTGTGCGTTACAATTTCAGAGTGGAAAGGAAAGTCAATGAACAAATCCAGTCAGTAACCTGCGGGAGGAGACTTTGCTCCCAACATAGACAGCATTCATGTCCACAGGAGCTTTACAAGAAGCCAAAGTCATTCCCATTGACCAAAGCCATGGTGGTATAACCCTTCTAGAGGAATGTACCAGGAGACCCAGTCTTGTAAAATCAAGGCAGCAGGGAGAGGGAGAAAGGCACAGGAGGCCTGTGAGGATGGAGGCATGTATCCTGGTGTGGAACAAGCTCGTTTACTGAATCATGTTTGTTACCATCCCTGTGACATCTTCACCACTCGAGGGGCACGGTTTCCATGGAGATTAATTAGATCTCATTTGTATTAAGTCATTAGAGCAAAGGAGACAGCTGCTGCTGCTGGCTGCAACAAGCAGCACTATCTCTTTGATTATGCCTCTTTCCCCTTCTCTGTGCAACACTAGGGCAAGACACGGAGCCTCGTCAGACTCTCTGCAATTTCCATGGTTAACTTGCTCTAGCTGTAAGGCTCTGATCTTGGTAATTGGATGGAGATGCAATCAAACATCCTAGCAGGGTAGACAATGCCGCCATTTGTTTTGATTGAAGATGTTGGAGGGGACTGTTCCTCACAGAGGTGCCGAAAGTCACTCTGGAAGGACAGGAGGTGCCGGAATGAGGTATCCGCTGGAACAGCAGTGGCTGGAGTGTGCTCCCTCTCATCCCACTCACTCAAGGAGGTGGCGGGCAGCCTACAGTCCGTTCGATTTATAAAGGCAAGGCACTCGGGGAGAGCACTTCAAACCCATTTCATTACAACAGTCTAACCGCTGCTCACCGTCTTCCTCATGGAGACAATAATGCATCTACATTTAAATACCTCAATTCGGCTTGCACGCAACAGTGCTGAAATACTTGACAAACAGCGAGATGTATTTTTCTTTTGCAGATGCCAGATGTCTCACAATAGCTCCAGTACATTAAAATGTGTGCACATAGATGGAGAAACAGGACACCACACGACACCACTACTTATGTCAGCAGTACAGTAGACAATGGGGAACAGAATTCAGTGTAGTTTAAGTTAAGAAATAACTGCTGCTTCATTTTCAACATTCTTATGTATGAACGGGGCAATAGCTGCAGTTTGGTAGAACAAGGCTGTTTGTAAATTTGAAATCACGTTATTAAATGAGAATGTTGTTTCCGGTTTGAAACTTTTATTATAAACTCAAGCTGGGAGGAGGGTCTTTCTCCACATAGATTTACCACAGAGTGGTAAGTGCTATGTTTTCCCCAAGACCTTACCAATTTATAAACAAGAATGGAAATAACAGAAAAGGATGAAGTGTTACCTTTTAACACTGGTAAATATTCTTCTGGGAAAACTTACTGCAATGTTGCGAATCATCCATTGCTATCGTGTGAAAGGATCGAAAACAAACAGGAGTAGAGTATAACGCGCAAATCAAGAGATTCACCTGCACGCACGTGCAGAGTGAATAAAGACTGGAAAGTAGTGGCAAAGAAAATGAGAAAATAGGGCTTTCAAAATATCCACAGAAACACCAGTGAGGAGAAACTCAACAAAACGAAGTGTAAGGCCACCTGAATGACTTAGATCATCAGAAAAATATAGCCACCATGTTACGCAATGCATTTGTGTCAAAATAACCTACAGGTTGAGTTCTGTATTGCAACAGGGCATACAGAAATAATCTTTTTTGGCTGAGGATATTTATTTTTGGAAAATAAGCAGAAATATGCAGTTTCATCACCACAAGAAAGAACAGAGCAATGACAGAGGTGGTTATTTTATTCTGATACAGCAAAATCCCAATGAGCCAGCAATAACAATCGAACTTGTATTTACTTACAGCTCGAGCTGTTTCTCTACGAATGCTAGTCAAAAGAAGCGTTTTTTAGACTTCAAGCCACAGAAAAGACCAAATTAAAAAATGTTGGCCAGCCATGCATGAATAGATACCGTTGGCAGTCTCTTGTAATTATCCTTTCTATCTGGTTTGGCATGTTCAGGTTCTGACTAGATGTATCCACCTTTGCTGCCTGTTTATAATGAGAACTCTTGGGACAGGCAGATTTATATGTACAAGGCCACAAAGGTCTGCTTAAACAGAAATAACCTCTTCAGATTTTTCTGGCTTCGACACAGATAACACAGGAAACCAAAAGGAGACTGTACAGTTCAGCTCTGTTCCTTAGAAGCAAATCCAGTGTTTTCAGTCACTAACTAAAGGCTCGGCTCAAGAACTGCCCTCACACTGACAGTCTGTACATTAATATTCGAGTGTTATATTGAGCCAATGAAACAGGCTTCTAAAAAGTCAACACAAACTACAAGACGTTATCCTGACCATTAGATTATCCCTGACCCCTGAACTCCAGGAATGCAGAACCTTGCTGCTTTTCACATTAGCATGTTACCATATCAGTATATTTTCAAACAAATTTGTGGTTTATTCACTTAAAAATCAATTTTATTTCAAAGTTGCACACAGTTGCATGTTAGTCTTACAGAATTAACAAAGTTCCTCATTGCCTCTCTAAGTATGTCTTGCAAAGTACATTATTTTGCAAGTGACTTGATAGATAAGTATCATATGGTCTTCCTCACACAGCTGACAAAATAAACGCAATTGTGTCCCTTTGCATGTTGATATAAAAGAAAGACACCCTAACTAATAAACACCCCATGTTCTCTTACTTCTGCGGGGTGAATATGTAAATACTGTAGGTTAACTGATCACAAAAAAATGCTCCTAAATCAAACTGGGTTAAGAACAGAAAAATCAGTTTTATCAACAGGTGATGGATTGTACGCAGAAAGTACACTTGCTCAGCCAAAACAGAGGGTCTCAGCAATCCAACAAAACGTGAGGTTTTAGAGTGAACCTGGCTTTCTTCCTCAGTGACTGACACACCATCCTCAGGCAGAAACTTCCACAGAAGAAACAGAGGGTCCATAAGGTCTTAACTGCATGTTAAAGCTCCTCATTGGCAAGCCTGTTACAGTCTGTGCCCACCCACGATCTCTCCTACGGGCTCTCCAAGGGGCCAGGTGGATGCACAGCCGCCTCTGTCAAATCAGGAAAGATGCAGAAGACCTCCATCTACCCCCACTTGCCCACACCTGGCTCCAACCACTGCAGAGCTATCTGCTAGGGAGGTCAGGACGGAAATAATTAAGCTGCTAGGAGTGAGCAAGGTCACTCCAACATCTATCAAGAGAGACAATGATCAAGAAAGATAAAGTGTGCTTTCGACAGGGTGACTCATACATCCCTTGAGGGCCTCCGTGTCAGCCAGTGTTCCCCTGCAGCGCCTCTTCAGGACACCCTGAATGGACAGGGAGTGGTCCAGGGTGTCTGACCAGACTCCCAGGTTCAGCCAGACACAAGTCAACTAGAAGCAAAGCGAAGCTGTGTGGTGCCACAATCTCCCCTTCTCTGAGCAAACAAGTTCTGATCATTTTAATTCTGCCAAACATTTCTATCAAGCATAGTCATTGCTGAAGATCTACTAGTACACTTAGCATCAAGACAAACATTGTAAAGTAATAAGAAGTGACAATGTACTGATATCACAATTACTGCTATCTTATAAAATAAGTAACTCATTTTGCTCTTTAACAGGTAAAATGAATAATTCAGCATGAAACTGCACTTCAGTAACTGATAAAGCCTGTTGTGATTTATGGCACATTGTCATGATGTCCTTTGAAAATGGATTACAGTCTTTAAAGGAATTAAAACCAGCTAGTTTTCTTGTTTCAGTTCCTTTTTTGGAATATATATTGCCACTTAGCTAGGAAACACAATGCATATTTCATATATTCATCCCCAAAAGAACAAATACTGGCACTATTTCAGGCAGTGAAATAGCATTTTGGACATATTTATGTACAGTGATGAAATAAAATTGGGTTAACAGCCAGAAAAAATAAAATAAGCATTAATGCTTTATAAAATACCAGTCAGGGTATTGCTATTTATCCTCTTAATGGACACATCATAAAAATAACTAGATGAGAAGAGTCATCCTCCTGTACAAATGAGTGGTAGGGGGCGTCACTCAATTTTTCCTTTAACCTATAATTCAGTTTTTGGGGTCTTAGCACTTATATGTTCCAGGTCTTTCCTATGGAATAAAATATGTTACAAATATGGGGGCTAAAAGCAAATGGGTGACCTCATTGTACCCATTTACAATCCCCCCCAACAGCCAAGCATTCCACCCCCTCTCTCCAGCCACCTACTGGAAATCATTTGGCATGCACAGCGATCCATTTAACACGGCCGCCAGCCTAAACACTAAAAGAAAAACAAGTGTCATAAAAACATTTATAAAAGTTTTTAAATCCGAAGTCTCCAAAGGGCAGATATAAAGCCCACAGGACCCTCAAACCTTTTGGTTTTCAGTAAGGAGATCCCATATTGTTACACTGCCCACGAAACTGAAACTGCCCAAACTAGGTTAGGTGCCTGTGGCCATGAGGAACTGAGAACTGTGGGGAAAAGAAGTCAAAGCAGAGTTTGGGCCGGACATGACATGAGAAAGCCTAAAAGCCTCAGTGAAGTTTATATACCACAAGGGGAAAAAAACAGATACAAATATGAGCAAGACAGGTTTATAAGAATTTAGCCAAACCTGCAAATCTCCATCATTTCATTGGAATTGAAATGGCAAAATAAAAAGACTAATTATGTAAAAAACATTTAAAAATAAGAATTAAATTAATTCTAAAACTAGAACTAAAATTTCTAGATTCCCAAAAAACACAGAGGGGAATTCAGTGTGGGTGTGTACAGCAAGCGTTTCCTCTAACGGCGTCTACCTTGCATTGTCAACTCAGCCTGGGCCTCAATGGTTTCATTCCCGTTGTCTGCCAAGCAGCTGTATATCCCAGCATCCTCCTCTGTAAGGTTCACAATCTGCAGGCTGCCCCCACCGACAGTCTCGAACTTCCCTTCCCTGGCAGAGAGAAAAGAGAGATGAAGACGGGGTTATCATTCCTACCAGGCACGTTTCGCATGTCTTCCCTGTTCTTACAATACAAAATCACAACTTTTTAATTACACTCCTTACAGGGTGCTGCCTGTACAGTTAAAAATAGAATTTGCACACCTTTTTAAGGATTATAATGGAAGGTTTTAGTATGTTTTCCACAGTAGACAGCTATAACCAACACATGCACAAGGAAACCATCAAGGGTGAAGACTGAATCACAGAGCCCACATCAAATGCTTTTCCTTTTTTTAAGATGCTTAAAGTACAACGTGGATAACACAAGTAGCAACCTCTTTCTGAAAACAAGGCCATGGCTCTGTATGTGCATAATCATGTGTTCAAAATCTGAACAGCACCCAACACAAACTAACCCAGGCCATGAAAGAAGGTTCGACCAGACAACTGAATTGGCTGCAACCCTACAGAAGGAAAGAAAGGAAAAATGAGTAACAGATGAACCAGATAAGGGGGGAAAAGTGAAAAACAAAGTGCTTGCAGAGTAAATCAATGATTTCCTGTGGGTATCCTATTGAGTTACAGGTATATTTAACATAGCCCCCTCCCAGCATATATACACACTCCAGCTCCTCATGTTCCTGAAGGCAGTGACCTTCAAGCACTAACCTTTCCCCTCTGACCTTCTGCACAAGTAATGGAGGAGAGGAACTCTCACGGAGTGTTGATTTAACTCATGGTAGAGCAAAGGTGAAAATCAATAGGGTACACAGATATATATCTGGAGAGCTATTGGTGCTCTCAGAACAAGAGATTGCCCTTGGCTTGAAAACACAGTAGTACAGGGATACTGCTGCAACTGCATAACATAATACACTGGCTATTGATTGGTTTGAACATGAACATTAATACCACAATTTTCTAGCATAGCAGAGCCCCTTGCCAGGCACATGTCTTATTCTGCGCCCTCTGATGCACTGAGCCCCTGCCTGCTTGTCTTTAGATATCATCCTTGAGGTACATTGGTTACACTAGCACCAGTGCCAACTCACCCCCTTCTTTGGGGGAGCCTGGAGGTCATTTTAATCAAACAGCATGTTTCCTCTTTTTCTGGCAGCTACAAAATACTCCCCAAACTAACGGAGATGCTTCAGTGACGTGCTGTCCTGGCATACTAGGCTTTACATCTTCAGAACAAAAGTGTAAACGGACGATTCTCCTTTTCCCTGCTTCAGTGGTGATCTGGTCCCTCATGTTGCTCACAGACAAGCTGGATGAAAGCCCAGGTGCTTGCTAAGAGCTACACGCTGCACTACTGCTTACAGATATATCGAAACTGAAACAGAGCTGCAGAAATCACAGCAGCTAGTTACAAATATTAGGAAAATAATTAATTAAGAGTGCTTTGTCCTACTGGTTTTGGTGTTTCTAAATAAAGATCGCATATCAAGCACTGAGGGCATGCTTTGTACTTGTTTCTTTTATGATGTTTTGTATTCCACACACTCTAAAACAAATGCTAATTAACGGCTTCCAAATGATCCAATTAAACTGTGGTGACCTTAATAATGTTCAATTTAACTAATCAAAATGTTTCCTTTCAGTTGTACATGAATCTCTCTATACTGCCCCCTCAGCAGCCAAAAGTTTGCATATTTCAGCTTTTCCCTAAACAATTTTTCATACCTTGCTCATTTACAATCACATGTGGTTTATGTCTGTATGAGCAATTTCTTTTCTCCTCTTCTGAACATTATTTGCCTAAAACTCTTTGAAATATTCTGAATATTCTATCTGATAATAGAATATAAACTCCTTTCACTGCAATTCACTTTTGATCTTTAGGCTTGCAAATACTAGAGAACTCTAGAGTTAAAAGTATCGGCATATACCGTTTCAAACTCAGCAGGCCATGCATTCCCCAGCCTACTGCAGGCAGTTGCAGGGTCTTATGAGAGTTTTAGTTGAAATGCAACACTGAAGCTCCCTGTATCAGTCAGCTGGTTGCTGCGCAAGACGGCTGCTGAAGATGTGAGGCGCCCAAGAGCTTTACTTATTTAAAGATAATTGGCGAACAACGTTCCCTGATATGCGATAGCTTGTTAGCTGGAACCCCTCAGTGACAGTATTAGGTGAGCATGAATTAATTAAAAAAACATTAAAACAAATTTACGAAAAAGCCCCAACACGAAAAGCTAACTTTTAATTAGTTTCCAATTAACACAGTCGCTTCGTCACAGCGCACCACAAAGGAGACTTGAGCTTCAGTCTGGTGGAATCATCCTCTAGTATCTGGAGCAATGTCAGTCTCGAGAGGATGACAATCTGTATATTGACTATGAAGAACTACTCTGCATGCAAATCACAATTCCACAACGCACAAATCTTGTTCCTTCATGCACGGTTAATGTTAACATTCACCTACTGTTTTCTTTAGTAATGTCAGATGAAGTTTGAGTGCAACTCTATTCCCTCTCTTGCCAAGCAGCAGTCACACGTAACATGAATACCATGCTCGGGCCAGTCGTGCATCAACAGAATCAAGAAAAGAAACGCAGTAAGGGAATTCTTCATGGTATGAGTTGGCTCACTTGCGATTCACCTCCAGTTAGCGACGCTTCAACCAACACTCTTAGCCAACAAACAGATACAGATTTGAGTCACATCCATAAACCCAGTAAGATTTGGCCGGAAACGAGGAGCCAGTGTTGGCCCGACTACTAAAATTAAACAGCAGTCAGCAACACAGCACCCTGACTGAGAGCCAACACTGGTTATCTGGGCGAAGTGGGGAAGGACAACAAAGGAACACAGACTGACACTTCATTATCATGTGGGTCCACTTCCAAGGGTCAGTAGCAATTCAATAGACATTGTTTGTCATACTTAATCGAGTCTAGCATCTCAGGTAGTTCCTCTGCATGAAGCAGCAGTTTATTACTCTAGTACCTCTCTTTGGATTCCCCATCATAAATAAGCATTTGTTTTCTGCATGAAACAGGAGGGGACACCATACCTTCTCCTTGCAAAACAATCTTCATCATTCATTATTAAAAATGATAGGGATTATTTTTACTCCAACAATTCTCGGTTCCCAGCCAGCTTGCTCTCATATTCCCTTGGAATGAGGACAATCAAGGCACCTCACATTATTGCATAATGTCAAGACTTCTACGGCGTCTCCAAGGAAAACAATACAAAGACCTGACAGGGAGACACTGTGAGTATTTATGAAGAAGAAATAATTATTCACAGCATGGGGCCTCGATCTTAACCTGTCAAATTACCTGCTGCTCACGGTACAGATCTGCTAATGGAAACCCCACAGGACAATAATGGTGAGATGATGCAGACCTCTTTCAGGCTTGTTTTATCAAGTCAGGAAGCTGCACTGTAGAGGAGTACAGTATGTTAAACAATGCATCACACAGTCCCAGCTCTGCTCAATATACATCAGAGCTTTCTTTTAATGCACTGCTAACTCTAATAAGGGCAACCAATCTGTTTCATTAACAACCTGGGAGAGGGAGACAAGCAAACCATCAAGCCTTTCCTAGGGTCCACACAATGCGAGCAATTTTAACAAGCAAGCAGAAAAAAGGGGAAGAGGGAGGCCCTCATGAGAGGAGCTCACATGCTCCAGTGCCAGAAAAAAGCTTGATTGTCTGTTTTCTCGGTCTCCAAACTCCCCGCGTCTGCAACTCACTTCATTACCCCAGTACTCCTCTGCAATTTATTATCCCGGCAGCGGCTGGTAACTGAAACTCATTTCCACAGAAACCGACCCACAAATCTCTGTTTGTCCGAGCACCATTGTTATTAACGTGCTCCCAGATAGCATCGGAGGCCCCCTCCAGACTCCTGTTAGCAGACCTCCCTGGAGCCAGAGAAACGGATCGAGCCCTTTGAGAAGCAGCACAGGCGCAGTACAGCTCCTCAACAATCAACCCCAACCCCCCCCAAGAGACATCTGGGCACAGTCAACCCCCCCAGCGTCAAGGCTCGAGCGATGGAAGCTAGGAGTCGTCGAAAATGATGCTTGAAGCCATCTTCACATACAATTTCACAACACAGTGCCTTCACCTGTTGAAATATCCAGTGGACCAAAATTCATTTTTTCCTCAAACATACTGTATGTGGTTGCACTGCTTAACAGATGTTTTTGAAGAAACGTTGCTGTATTAATTAATCGATACTGAAGACATCAAGCTTCTGAAGTATCTAGCAACCTCCTGCTGCTGTCCCACCAATGCTGCAGACCTGTAACTGTTTTCACACCACTGAAATGTGTACATAAAACTGACATTTCTTATTTTAACCGTCATAAATCAGCTCCGTGTTAAGAGACATGAATATTGACTTTTTTATTAAACAACTAATAGAGGAGGCAAACTTCCCTTCCTAAATCACTGCAGTGCTTTAGGGAGCCCTCCTGGCATCTAAGACATCTTTGAAAAAAGATTTATGGCCGTAAGATCAAGTGATTTGCATTACTGTTAGAAGATGTGAAATACAGCATTCATTAGTGACCTGACGCTCCGTTACTAAACTATCAATAAGTGCTCTCACAAAAAAGGGTCACCCTTGGAAATCCTTTTTTTTTACAGTTTGAAAAAAGGAGATCTGCAATGGAAGTTTCAGAAAGGTGATCTGATAGGAAATGTGACTAAAACTTAAGTTCAGAAGGTTGTGTTAATCTGGCAACAGTATAATTAAAGTGCTTAAATAAGTATGGAATTCTGGGAGGTCTGAACTCCCTGCAGCCATTCAACTTGTGAGATCTTGTCTTCAATTGAAAACAAGATATAAGAAATAAGTAAATAACAAGGCCTCAGGCTCTCCAGGTTAATGATCTGCCTTATTATGAACCCTGATAATTTTCACTCTGGAACAAATGTGTTAATGGTTATACCCTCTAGGTTTGGCTCAAATGAAGCTACACTGCCCAAACGTTTAAAATATTTTTCCAAGACCAAGTCCTGATGGACTTATTAGAATCTTGCACAAGC